GTTAATCGTGACATTATCTGTTGAGAGGAAAGATACACAGGTCTCGACAATAGGTGTGCAAAATTTATAAATTTAGAATCGACGTCGATTTAAGTAGAACGCGTCTGTGAAATTAACACGAAATTGTCCGGATAGTGAACGTGCGTTCTAACGGTTGAAGTTGAGGGATAATTCAATAAATTGACCGAAAAAGATGGATGAGTTAGTGTCGTTGTTTACTTACGAATTCACTAGTAGAAACTTGATGTCCGGTCTAACGGTTCGGGTGTTAGGGTAAATCGTAAGTGCTACAATCGAAAAGTACAACTGTTGACAACTGCCCCAGGTAGTCACAACTACTACTGTACCGTCCAACCGTTTTAACCCTTCAAATCAATACGTCTTTACATACTCTCCGTTTCGACAAGAGCGAATGTACTCAATTTTGTAATTGGGGAACTGGCCTTTTCATAGTATCGAAAAGTCACTTGTTTGACGACCTTACCCGTTCCTTCCTTGGTCTTCCTAAGTTTCTTATTCAGATCTTTTATTTTTTTTACAAAATTAATCATCGGGTCTCATTCCCGGATATTTGCCGAAGAAGGACCGTTGGAGGAAAATGAAAAATCGGTATGTGTAAAAAAAATATACTAAAGAAGAGGTTGTTGTCCTATTCTTGAGGAAACATCCGTAGTCCAGTTAGGAGTGTCATTTCATTTCTCGATTTAGGGTCTAAGTTTACCCGTGCGATTTTACCAGAAACTCGTACAAAAGAGACGTCAATAACACCGACAATTACAATTTACAACAAAAACCAAAAAGTACGTAACCACAGAGCTAATAAACAGATACACTAAAGTGTGACCTCGACCGACACTACGTTCAGTTGTAAAACGTCTGAATTATAGACTGCGTTAATTTCATACCGTTCAACCGTGTATTTACGACGGATTACTACGCGGAATTGGACAATTCGGGGGTCGGACAAAAAGTTCCAGAGTCCGAGGCTTTTACTGTAAGGTCTGTGTATTACTGATATAGAAGTGGAAGATTTTCCCATTAATTATTAGAAAAAAACGAAGTTTCGTTATTATTTGCACACTCAACCTACGTCTTTTCAGTCTTAGTTGATATCTTTACCAAAATAAAATTTCATTTAAGATCTAATTTGTAATCATTTTTTTTTAATTTAATACCTCAGAAGCCGCAGGTTTTATTGGGGTAATTGAATATCACTATTTCGTGTTAAACTTTACTACCCTTATCATCTGATTATTCGAAATCCTTAGCGTTTTGTACTTCGTATATTTACTTCATCGAACATAGTTCTAACTACGTTTCTTTTTCACTAGTAAAATGAAAAATCTCTCTAAATCCGTGGTTTTTTTGGAGTAAACCCACCTAAACGGTATAGAGACCTTGCGGCAGCCAGCCTAAAAATTACTAACTGTGCGAGAAAACTTCGCCAATCTCGAAACTCCCTTTCCGAAACCACTTACTCACTGTCCGTGCTCGGTCGTCGGTTTTGGCTTCGGAGAGTTAGTGTTACTTGATAATACTTATACAGAAATAATGAGTCCCGATACAAGGTGCTAGTAAATTTCATCGTCACTATTTTTGGAGGAAGAATTTTCGTGGTTTGGAGCTAGGTCTTCTAAAATCGGGTTGCATTATCTGATAAACGATTAGAAGGCAAAGGAGGAGGTTCTTAAGAACTCTTTTCGGCAGGGGTTTTTTCAACACACTATGAATTTTTTGTTACTCAATAAACTTCTAAAGTCACGATCCGAAATTTTCTTAGGTGTCTCTGCCCGAGACCAAATTTCAGTGTTTACTGGAAGAGTTATCGGAGTTCTGTTCTCCTGAACAGAGTATAAGAACACAAACCGAGCTAGACGCTTCGATGTAAACTATGATAGCTGCGTACTTCAGGATAACGTTCTCTGATCTCGTGAATCATCCCCCGTATTTCCCTTGACGAATCGACAAGAATCCAGCATAGATTAGCCGTGCCAGAACGTCAAAACACACAAAGTTGCTACCTTACGAAGGTACGTTTGCGTTTTCACTCGGTACCTCACCGGTGTCCCGAGTCACCGAACCTTGATAAACCAAGTGTAATGTATACGAAGGGAATCCGTTATAATTATTCCTTAGTAAGACATTTACAGGTAACAATCTACCCGCGCTTACTCATTGAGTTTGATATAAGATGGGTGACGTTTCCGACTACTTTAATTAGTAGATTTATATTTAAGTTCTCGAAGTTCTTGAATTTTTGCACCTACTGGAATCGTAAAAAAATACAATTTGTGCCGGTTGTTGACTTCAATAACATCACCTGCCGGGGTTTCTTACAATATAAACTAGTCCTAGCATAGGAAAAGATGTGCGGGTCGTATTTTTACTTAGAGTTCCTGGGCGGAAGAAAGTAGATGAATTGTAACCCGTTTTTTAGTCCGTAAAGAACGGAGTTTTTGCTACGTCTCTTCGATCAGCGTAGCCGTAAACAAATCGAAGTTCCGACCTAATAACATTGGAGAAATAATATGTCCACATCGGTTTTTTCATGTCAATCTTCAGCGAAGTCGAAATAAAGTTGTTACGTCCCCGTGCACGTGATTTTTCGCGGTCTCAAGCCTTTTCCTTTGGGTGTAATGACCGGACAAACACCGACAGGAATGTGACCGAGGGATTATTCTTCTGTGTCCTATCTTAATCAATTATCTTTGTAGAGAAGAACGAGCGGATTGTTTCGGGAATTCACCCCGGTTCCGCGTGGTTAAGAATGGATTTTTTGATAATATCGGGATGAACAGGGATGTTCCCGTCCAACCGCAAGGTCACTTACGTCCCAACAACCAACAAGGATCTCAGAGATTTTCATCCGTTACCTCGTCTCGGAAAAGAAAAAAATTAGTTCGGGAGGGAAACACTTATGTCGAAGGTCAAACACAAGCCGTCCGCCTTCAGTCGGATTAGCGCAAAAATTTTTCATGTACAACGCTGGACCGAGTCTTCCGGAGTGTCATGCGAGATTGCTGCGAAGGAAAACTATTTCCCGAATATCACTAATTTATCTAGATTATTCTCACGTAACTGCACTGTGTAACACGGAGAAGTGGGGTATACTGAGAAATCAAGAATGACGAAAAGGGAGTGACTACCATATTCTACATTAGGACCAACACACACATCTTGCCACCTTTCGTCCCTCCTTCCTGTATGTCGCACGGAACTAGGGACCCGGCTCAGGCTGCCGTGTTGACAACTAACACAGTCACCCGGTCTTTCGTGAGAAACTCGTACGCGAGTACCAATCGTACATTGAAACCAACACACACATCCCTGCAACCTTCGTCCTCCTCCCGCTATTATACTTGCACGCGACTACGGACGTCTCAGCTGCCGTGTTGACACTTAACCACAGTCACGGTCTTTTGTGTAAAAACCTCGGTTACTCCGAGTACCATAGTCTAAACCGTCGTATAGTAGAATGAACGATGGGGGAAAGGAGGTTGGGATAGGATTTCCTCACGTACATGGCATTCTGTGCGACCGATATCCGAATCTGACAGCCCCTCGTGGAATGAAAGAAGGAAGGACAGACAGGACCATGGGACACATGCAGAGTACAAGCGCTTATTGGGTCGAAAGGGTGGTGTAAAGAAAAACCACAGATAGATGGACCGGCCTTAGCGACTCAAGCACCGACTTAGGACAAGAGAGCGCAGGACACAGGACCCTACGGACTCAGTACCAGGACCTAGGACTTACGTCACAGGAGTCCTAGGACTTAATTGCACACAGGACCTAGCGACGTAGGACTCAGACCTAGGCACTCAGCGACTAGACTCAGCGACCTGAAGCTCAGCACCGACTTTGACAGAGACGCCAGGACGGACTGAGAGGCAGTAGGTATGATGAAGGGCTACCGAGGGTGTACCTAACACTGTAGGAGCCTAATAGTCATCCACATTTCTATAAAAGCAGAGAAAAGTATGTAAGCACAAGAAGGCCCATACTCATCTGTTTATCCGTTAGCCACAGATTG